AAAGTGGGATTTATTTCGAGATGAATGAACTCAAAGAGTTATTATCTCGAGGGGGAGAATTAATGGAATCCCACATCGACAATAAGTCGATAAATTTTGGTGAATTTGACACCCCAGAGCGAGATAACTCTGGTGAAGCCATATCCTAAAATTTATCACTTTGTGATAAAGTGCAACATCTAAAATGAAGTTCACTCTCAAAATGAGCTTTAAGCGAATCGTTCATAGCGCAAATCCAAGAGATTGCAAAACGATTCATGGTGATTTAATTTTCATGTTTTTACATGCAACATGCAGTTTTGCATATAATAATGATTATATATAAGGCTAACGATTTATAAGAAATATTTCTCCAATGTTATATATACATGATTGGAGATCAAATGTTTCTAATTTTGAATTTTATGGGTGTGAGGTATATGTTATAAATGCTCCTCTGCACCGCATAAAAATATCATCCAAAAAGGATGAAATATATAGATGCAGGAGATGATTCTCCGCTCTACAAATACTGAGCCATCTTATGAGAGATGTGCCTATTGCAAGATTTGCAAATCATCATGTTGATGATAAAGTTCTCCATCATTATGGGAGAATCAATGAATAGTTAAGATCTTTGAACAAATGAATATAATAAATATGAACTTTAGAGTTCAAAAGTTCAAAAGGATCACTATTCAGAATATATTGCAAATCAAATGCAAAAAGCTGATGGACGAGATTTCATGAAATTATTGATCCTCATATAAATATATATGAACTTAAAGTTCATAGGAAATCTCTTGTCCCAGCTAAAAATGCTCTATAAAAATATGTCTCTGACGGATGACATACTATTGTCTATAACACGTAAAAGAACGTGATAGACAACTTTGGTTCCAAATATAAAGAAAATCTTCAAGAAAATAAAAAGAGCATATTATTACTAAAAAGAGGATTAAACTCTTAAAAGAGGAGCATATAAACTTCTAAAGGGGAGCATAGAGACTCCTCAACAGGAGCAAAGAGACTCCTAAAGAGAAGTAAAAAGACCGATTGGCATGGTTAAAGACGAAATCAGGTACCTGAATAAAATCATTTATAATTAAGAGATCTCGATTAACCATGTCATTACGGCAAACATGGAACCAAAGACAACATAATGTCGACAGTAAAAATGATCTAGCGCGCAAATGTGATTAATGAGGATCATAAATCTCCGCTCTGTGAGCGTAAAGAGATATATATTGGCCAATAAATAAAGACGCAGCCAAGTCTATACTAATCTCGTATAAAAAAACGAGTAAATCCTGGACACATGGTCCATGCATAAAAAAAAAAGTATTATGATACTTAAGACAAGACGGTGTGTCGCGCCGTGTTTTGTCAAAATCACTCTATATTGAGTTGATGAATAAATGACTTGAATTGCGCCTCATGGGATGTCTGTAGGACTAATCCCTGAAAGATATATGATATCATAGTTATATTCCCGGGAACTTATAAGCATGATGTTTTTGAACATCATCAAAACTCTTAAAGAGTTATTTGGAATAAAAGATCTTGGAAAGACAAAAGTGTCTCCAGATATTCCAACTAAACATCTAAAGAAAGAGATGTTATATTAGTCACTTCTAAAAGAAGTCGACTCTATATAGTTTGATCATGAAGCACTATATATAAATGCTGACGAGTATTTATATATTTTGTGAATTGTAGCTAGCATATATAAATGTTGACGATCATTTATATATCTAGTGAATATATTGTACCTAGCATTTGCTACTGATCTACTTGCAGGATTAATTCATTTCCTCCGACTAGACCTTGAATGAGTTCAAATGTGTCTTCCACTATCTGCAAGGTACGATTGACTTGGGCTTATTTTATTCTAGAAACCCCGAGTTTGGTTTTGTTGGTTTCGCAGATAGAGGAACTATATCAGATCTGTCTAAATATATATCGCAAAACAACAACTTCGTGGCGTTTCCAACAACAAATTTTGGTCGTCGCTTGTTCAAGTCATGCCAAAATTATTGCGCTTCATGAAGCACGTCGAAAAATCGAAAGCTATGTCAAGATCGATATGACAAGACATGTTATCCCAAGATTCTTCTCATGCACTCAAGAATCTGAGAAGAAGCAAGAAGTTGATGTCCAGTACATCCGACCAAGTAACAATGCAACAATTTTAGTTTAAAAGCGCTGCTTGCTACGCCATTCAAAATTCATCTTTTGAAGAAGATGCTTCCAGGGGGAGATATATGATGATGAGCGTGGCTGCACTCTTTTTCCCTTATCATGGTTTTTATCCCACTGGATTTTTCCATGACAAGGTTTTTAACGAGGCAGCAAATAACACGCAAAAGATAGACATCAAAGTAAAAGTCTATCTCTCTTCGAAAATCTTTGTTATATATTGACGAGATCAGAAGGTGAGAAGAGAATGATCGAGATACATCATCTACGAAACCTATGAAGAGAACAAATTTCGTTTGTTCCAGGGGGAGATTGCGTTTTTGCACTCTTTTCCTTTATCATGGTTTTTCTCCTATATGGTTTTTCCATGGTAAAGTTTTTAACGAGGCAGCACGCAATTTATTAATAGTGATGGATACTCAAGGGGGAGTATTATAAATAGATAAATATGGATATGATTATCCATCACTTACGTGTCTTATAGATGATGTTTATCTTGCTGTAACTTGGGCTCCAAGTTGCTTGGGCTCAAAGCCACTCTACTATATATATGTAATCGTTTGTGAGCAAAGTGAATAACAAGAGTGAGAGAATAAGAGTTACTTCATTTGTTTATCTCTCTTCACTCGTCCACTTTCTCCCCATCTCTCTTATATTATTTTACATATATATGTCTTAAAGTTATATTTTATAACAAAATTTAAGTTAGGAACTAAATTTCTTCATTATAAAATATTGTTTTCTAGATAAAGAATAATATATTTGTCATAGTTTAGTTGTATACTCATCATCACGACCTTCCTTTCAACACACGGAATCAAACTCCATCAACTCATAAATAGTAAGTGGAGAAACTGAATTTGAAGATAAAACATAAACTAGATCATTGTATCTTCTTTCTTTTCTACTGCAAATTATTTAAGATATACATTTTTCTTATTGTACAATTTGTACTATTCCTCGTATTCATTTTTCTTATTGTACTATTTCACTTTCGATACATAGATGCATCATCGTGGGCTCTTGAAAACAGTAACAAATATCAAATCAGCCTTGTAGCTAAAGGCTCTCTCACGAAATCAAGTTTTCCGCCAACTTGATGTTAATAATATCTTTCGATAAACTTTACATAGCCCAACCAGCGGGTTCATTGAAAAGGATAACCGCGACGCACTAGATTCTATTAACAAGGAAAAGGAAAATGGATCGTTTTTAACCCAAAACGTAGGTTTCGTCACGATAACTTGTTAAATATTAGTCTCCAATTTAAATTTCCTAAAAGTGTTACTTATCCAAATTAATAGATTGATTTTTTAACTAGTAGCACTTAAATCTAAAGTCCTTAAATATTAGCATAATTTACTAAAATATGGGAACCATACTTAGGTTTACCCCTGGGGTGAACCTTTAAATTCACCCAACAGATTATAGCCAATCGTTTTGCCATGTCATTATTAATACTAGAGAATTAAAAAAAAAAGAAACACAATTAAAAAAAAGGAAATCACAAAATAGATTTAGGGTTTAGGGTTTAGGGTTTAGGGTTTAAATTTTACAATTAAAACGAAATTATATATCTGTTTAGGTTTGTGAAATATTTGTTATATAAACCCTAAACCCTAAACCCAAATCATAAACCATAAACCCTAAACCCAGCGGTGAACAGATATATAATTTCGTTTTAATTGTAAAATTTAAACCCTAACCACTCATTTGTCAACCCAAACCGATATCTAATTTCGTTTTAATTATAAAATCTAAACCCTAACCACTCATTTGGCAACCCAAACCGACATCTAATTTCGTTTTAATTGTAAAATCTAAACCCTAAACCCTAAACCCTAAACCCTAACCGATATCTAATTTAGTTTTAATTATAAAATCTAAACCCTAACCACTCATTTGGCAACCCAAACCGACATCTAATTTCGTTTTAATTGTAAAATCTAAACCCTAAACCCTAAACCCTAAACCCTAAATCTATTTTGTGATTTCCTTTTTTTTAATTGTGTTTCTTTTTTTTAAATTCTCTAGTATTAATAATGACATGGCAAAACGATTGGCTATAATCTGTTGGGTGAATTTAAAGGTTCACCCCAGGGGTAAACCTAAGTATGGTTCAAAATATGGTTTACTCCTTAAAACTCACCCATAACAATCACACTTGTTCATCCTCTGATTCAAACTCAATGTGAAAAGGATAATCATCGTCATCTGTTAGTATGAGTTATTACTCTTTGACTCAACTCTTCGATTCTCTTTACTTCTAGAATCTCTTTGTATTACTCTCTTCTTTGACTGTCTCTTCGATTCTAGATATGCTGTAACTATAAAATCCCTTCTCATGCTTAATGAAAATCAATCAACATTCTGAATATCAATAAGTTCATCTTCATCAATAAATTCATCTTCATCAATAAGTTCATCTTCTTCTCCTTCTCGTTCCACCTCCACAAACCACTCCCCTACATTTTCTTCATCACGAACACGAGCACATCGGCATTTTTTTTGTTTTTGTTTTAATGAATGTTAAATTTATCCAACCAAAAGACCTTGTTACAATAAATGCATCCGTATATCGAATGTTGTTTTGAAAAAACTGAATGAAACTAGAGAATTAGCCCTCGAATCGAACCAAATCCTCAGCCCATCTTCATATTTGCGAAGGTCAAGGAGACGGATGGAGGAGACTTTGTTGCGTATGAGACGATCCAGAAAGTTAATTAATTGATCTGCAGGACTTGGGAGCTCACCATGTCTACGTTTATTACGTTCTAACCAAATCGTGTGGATAGATGCTTGGAAGAGGATCCGTAGAATGAAACCAAGGGTACCTTTGATTGAGGAATCAGACAATAGGCCGAGGATCTCCGTGAAGCTGCATGTAAAACGTGTATGAAGTAAACGACGAGCCAGAACCTCCCAGATCCGTGAAGAGAGGGGACAGAGAAAGAAAAGATGCTCCCGTGTCTCCATCGGAGCTTGACAAAAGAAACACGAGGGATTGACTCCCCTGCCCCAAGATGCCATGCGATCACCAGTGGTTAGCCTATCCTTTGCTGCAAGCCAAAGTAAGAACGAATGATAACCACATGGTGGTGGGCGAGTGGTTCTCGTTTGGTTGGAAGGATCGCCCTGTTGGTCTAGGCCAGGGATCGATCCTCCCCAGAAGCAGTTTCGCTCTCTCACTCCTGTGGCCACCTGAGAATTTACCTGCGGACTTGCTCAGGCGCCCCAGACCACCAGTTTATTAGGGGGCCCTTAAATGGAGACTTAAAAATCCCTGTGACGCGGGCTTAGGCCCAGTGGGCTAGTCAGATCACTGTGTGGTCTGGATACTGGGTTATCAAAAAAAAAAAGTAAGAACGAATGCTTCGGAATAGAATCTGAGAACCAAACACTATTGGACCAACTTATTTTTTGGCCAGTAATTCGTATTTGTTGCCAAGTATAAGCACATCGGCATTTTCCTCTTTTGCTTGTTGAACAACTTTGAATTGAATTGCACATATAGTAGACTGTTCATTTGATCAATGTCTAGTCTATTCCGCTCACTCTTTTGAATCTACAGCACATGAGTATATAGCATTTACCAAATTAAGAAACAAATCAAAGTTAATACACAAAAAACACAAACCTCTTCGAAAGTACTCAAGTTTCGTTGACAGCCAGCCAGAACTAGTAGTCAAAGAGAGAATCTTCATTGCTAGCTGGTGTTTCTAAATTAGGCATATAGTTAATCCGTTTGTTGGCCACCAGTGCTCTACATAATCCAATTGCAACATAACTATGCATAATCTATATATGACCGTGGTCACAGCCTTAGTTAGCTTTCTCAATGTATTTTAAAATCTTTGGCAACTTAATAATAAACCCTGAAAACACACAAAAAAAGAAAAGAAAAAAAAACCTTCGATATAACTTTGTCAAATTTACCCAGTTTGACTCAAAACTTAGCAAAAATAACTAGAATGACTCTCAATCCAAATGGATAACTAGACTAACCCAAATTTTATGTAAAAAGACTATTTAACCTTTCATTATGCCAATTTCCTTTAAAAATAAAAACCAAATTCGTTTTTTTTTAATTAAAAATCAAATATGGCATATAATTTTAACAAGTCTGCTACATTAAAATTAAGTCTGCCATATCCTAATTTTGCAGATTTTTTTAAAAATTGCCAAACATAATCTTGTCGTGATATTATCCGATAACTCTGTCATGATAGAATAAAAATCTGTCAAAACATGAAAAAATCTGTTGTCACTAAATAGGTCATTCCAGTAATTTATTTTTAATTCAAGAAATCTGCTATGAAACACCAGATTTTTTTAAATTAAACATAAATCTGGCATAACATAAAAAAAATCTGTCATAACGTTAAACATATCGGTTGCGACTATATGTCATTCTAGCAATTTTAATTTTTTTAAAACAAATCTGCTATAACATTCCAGATTTTTTGTTAACATTAAAAAATCTGTCATAACGTAAAACAAATCTGTGAGCACTAAAAAGTCAAACTAGTAATTATTTTTTATTAACAAATCTGCTGTATTATGACAGGCTTTTTCTAAAAAATATAAGTCTGACGCCATTAAAAACAAAAATCTGCTACATATTATAATAAACTGTCAAAATTACGAAAGTCTGAGGCGTCATCATAAAATAAGTCTGGCAAAAGAAAAAAATCTGCTACAAATTAAATATTTGTCGTAACCATATTCAAATAAGTCTGTGGGAGGAAAAAAACTGCCGTAGAAAATCTATCGTAGACTATTAAGTCTGTCAAAGAAAATAAATCTGTCACAACGACGCCCACAGACTTTTAACGGCAGATTTGTTTTTTCGAAAAAATTTCACCCACGTTTCCAGAAAAATCAGAGGGTATTATTGACTTTATTTTTTTTCCTAACAAAGAGACAAAGGGTATTTTGGTCAGAAAAATAACTAGATTAACCCATACATTTTATGAGTTATTTTAGTAATTAAACCTTATTTTTGGGTCAAACTAGTTTTTTTCCCTATAACTTTTTACTCAAATCATAGGGTGGTTTTATTCATATGTTTGTGAAATTATGATATTCAAACAGAACAACAAGTATTAATTTATGGTGCGTTTCTTCAGAGGCACGGCAAGTAATGGGTTGGTCTTGTGCACTGTGAGACCAAAGGTCTCTTCCATGTCCAAATCCTCTGAACCGACACCGTTTGGAAGCTTCCATTCAAAGGTATAGAGAAGAGAAGCAAGCATGAGATGCACTATTTTCATGGCCAAAGGCAGTCCAGGACAAATTCTACGCCCGGCCCCAAATGGTGTAACCTCATAATCTGTACCTTTTACATCAATCTCTTTCCCCAAAAACCTCTCAGGCTCAAACTGGGTCGGATTTTCCCACACATTTGGGTCTCTTCCTATGGCCCACACGTTCACAAGAACCTGAGAGTCTTTAAGCACAGAGAATCCAAGAATCTCTACGTCGGTTTCCGCTTTTCTTGGGAGGAGAAATGGACCAGCCGGGTGTAGTCGGAAAGTTTCTTTTACGACTGCTTCTAAATACGGTAGTTTTGAGATATCAGACTCTTGAAAGCCGCCGTTTCTCCCTATCACAAGATTGATCTCATCTTGAACTTTTGTCATCGTTTTTGGGTTTCGAAGTAACTCTGCCATTGCCCATTCCACGGTACTAGAGTTTGTATCTGTGCCCGCTACAAACATATCCTGACACATACAAGTACATATTATATGTCAGTGAACTAATAATATATAGATCATGTTTTGCAATAAGCTAATACTTACGAGAAGTAGGTGTTCGATCTCATCAATGTTGATTTCACATTCATCTCCTTGTTGGAGATGGATAAGCAAATCGAGGAAGTCTCTGCTCGAAACATCTTTCTCATCTATACGCGATGAGTTCTCCACAATCCGAGCATCATAAAACCCTCTAAATACCTGTAAAATTCTCCCGGAGGACTCCTTCATCTTCTTACTATTACCTTGCAAGTCAAGAAACCTCAGAAATGGGAAGAAGTTAGCAAGGTCTGGGTTTCCGATTGATTCTTGGTAACCAATCACCATCTTCTGAAACGCACTACTGGAATGTTTTCGAATCGTAGCTACCGAGATTGACTGAAAATAATATATTCGATATGATATTGAGAGCTGTGACGAAGGATGCATGAGAAATATCAACAGCTTCTTCTCTCTCACTGCTTTCACTTAGGAAGTTGACAAGTTCTTGCACTTTCTTCATCCTCAGAGCTTTGGTAGCGTCGATACACTGCGGTGAGAACAGCTGAGTAGCCGATAGTTTCCTCAACATTCTGAAAAACATTAAACATAAAGTAGAAACGATGATATATGTAACCATTAGAAAAACTCAAGCGCGGTTGAAGATTAAAGATAATATTATTATGTTTTCATTTGATTTGCTACATTGTGGAGAAAAATAAAAGAGTATAATTGTGTTTCTTTATTTAGCAGATCATTAGTTAAATTAAAGTGCTTCGGATTTGAGTTCAAGTCCAGTACTACGTACGATTAGGAGGAATGATTTTACTATTTGTGGACCTACTACAAAGTCTACAAGTGTACTATTATCTTGATCCCGGATTTGAGAAATCGGGCCCAAAATCTTTGGATGCCTAAAGCGCAAAGATAGAAAAAATATTAAAAATATCCTTTAAAAACCTTGAACTCGTCACTTTTTGCCAATAAGTGAGACAACAACCACTGTACTATACTACTATAAAGCTTTTTTCAAAATTTGATGCCCTTAAACTAAACTATATTTTGGTCAGGGTCAGGCCTGACAGAAATCATAGCAGTTACCTGAAACGAGGTGACGAGGGATGAAGCCAACCAACGGAAAATTCATGATGACTGTTGGATTTGGTCGCTTCACTTATGTACCGTCCAGACAAGATTTGGTCGTGTGTTTTTAGCACTTCTCTCGCAGCGTCTCGTGAAGCTATGACCACTGAATTTAAAAATCCAAGCTTAAGACTCATGACTGCTCCATATGTTTTTGCGAGTTCCGTGAATGAGTGGTGTGGGTTCTTTACGACTAGAAGTATGTTTCCGATTATGGGTAACCGTGGAGGTCACGGAGGTGACTTGGATACTTGACTAGGGCTCCGTTGGGATCTTGCGGCGGTGAATAAAAGAAAACATGATAAGATAAAGCAGAAGAGGAGAAAACATAGGTTGTCCTGAGATGATGTCCATTTTTGTTTATAAAGTGATAGAAGACTACATAAAATTGTCTAAAAAATAGCTTAAGCTATAAAGAGGGAAAACTGAAGTTGACAAAAAAGGAAATGATATTTTAGCTAGTAGCACATAAATCCAAAGTCATTATAGATAAATTTATGCAAGTTAAGCATAATTTACTTCTCGAAACTCACCCACAACAATCACACATGTTCATCCTCTGATTCAAACTCAATGTGGAAGGGATAATCACCGCCATCTTCATCAATACGTTCATCTTCTTCTCCTGCTTGATCCAACTCCGCAAACCACTCCTCTACGTGTTCCTCATCCCCTTGTACGAGTACATCAGCATTTTCCTCCTTGATCCTCTTTCGCTTGTTGAACAACTTCGAATTGAATTGCACATATACTAGACTGTTCATTTGATCAGTGTCTAGTCTATAACTCTCACTTTTGTGAATCTACAACATGAGAGAAGATTTAATTTCGGAGTTAACATTTACCAAATTTAGAAACAAAATCAAAGTTAATACACAAAAGCAGAAACCTCTTCGAATGTACTCCAGTTTCGTTGACAACCAGATGAACTAGAAGTTAAAGAAAGAATCTTCATCGCTAGTGTTTCCAAACTAGGAACAGTTACTCCGTATATTGACCACCAGTGCTCTACATAATCCAATTGCAACATAAGTGATAGTTTTACAAACTTAAAGGTTATAAGAAGTAGATCAAAAGTCGAGAGAAAAACCTGGATCAAACTCGTCGGTATTCTGTTCACATCCTCTTAATGCATAAGGTGTTCCAAAAAATCCATCTTTATCCTGATAAATTCTAAACTCGTCGACAGCTTTATCTTGTTTCTCGATCTCACCATGGTAAAAAGTCTCAACACAATTGAGAAAGCCAGTCATGAGTGTCCCATCCAGTTGAATGGTTGGTTCGTTAAAGAAGTAAAATGGGTTCAACAAGTAGGCGGTCAAATGTAATGGAGAATCCAACCTACCTTTAATTTTCTCATCAATGATATCTAAGATAGGTTGGTAGTACCTTTCCAAGTTATTAGTAGCAGCTTTGATAGATCTTTTGGCTTCTACTAATTCTCCATAAATAAACCCCATTGAAGGTCTTTTCTCTCCATCGACCATCCTAAGAACTTTGACCAAAGGCTCCAAAACCTTCACAACTCGTGAACCCCATCCCAAAACGCAGGACTCAAACAAGTATAGTAAGCACTTCTACCTTTTACATAATTGGAATCTTTGCATCTCTCCCATTCATCACTAACAAACATAAACCTTAATTGCTCTTTCTTCTCCAACAATCTTTGCAAGGTCAAGAAGGTTGTTGCAAATCTTGTGATTCCAGCTCTTACAATATCCCTTTCCTTTGTATGACATCTCATCATAGCTAAGGTCTTTTCATGACCATATATGAACGTAATCACAGCCTTAGCTTTATCAATGTATTTTGAAATCTTTGGCAGCTTGACAATGTCTTCAAGCATCAAGTTAACCGTGTGAGCAGCGCATGATGACCAAAAGACACCTGGTCTCTTCTCTTTCAACATCTTTGCTGCTGCTAAGTTGTTCTCCGCACTGTCAGTTATTACCTGAACGACCTTCTCAGCACCAACATCCTCTATGCATTTATCAACGTACTCAAAGATAAATTTACCAGTCTGAGGTTCTTTTGAGACCTCTTTCGAAGAAACAAAACATGTCCCTCCTCTTGAATTGACACACAAATTCATTATATTCTTCTTTGTGTCGCTCCATCTATCTATTAAAACAGAGCAACCATTCTGTTCCCATTCTAACTCTAGACTCTTCAGTTTTTCCTTAATTATTTCTTCTTCTTCCTCCAACAATGTTTCCCTCAGTTCACACTGGCTCGGAGGAACCCAACCAGGTCCAAATCGTCCTAAAGCTTCACAAAACGACCTAAAAGAATCGCTCTCAATGACATTAAAAGGAATACCAGACTGATATATCCATCTAGCACAAGACTGATGCACTGAACGCATTCTCTCCTCAGAAACCACATCATTCGCGTTTTCTTGTCCTGTTTCGCCACCTAAAGAATCCTCGGTAGTAACGGCCATCACGAACTTATCCATTGGATCTTCATCCAAATCATCCTCTCTATTCAGCTCATCAACCTCCAAACTAAACACATCCACTTCTCTTTTCATTTTCCTCTTCTTGTTCTTCGCTTCCAAGATCGCTTTCATACATTTAAACTGATCTTCTTTCGTAGACCGTGGACACGAAGAAACATTCCCCTTACGGTGAGCAATATGTTCCTTAATCCTATACACACCTCCTCCCATTTCTTTCCTACACAACTTGCATTTAACTCTATCTGGATTTTTCGAGTCATACAAAATTCCATATTCCCATCCAACATCATTAGAGTTCCGCTTCAACAACGAAGTTCCTGGAGAAAAATTCGATGTCGAAGACGAATCCATATCTGCAAATCTGAATAATTTCAGAAAAAAAAACAAACTAAATTTCAGAACATAATCTCAGCAACGAGAGACTTGCCATCAAATCTCTAATACACAAGATTCAATCGAAACATCAATCGAAATATTTCTGACACACAGGAGATTTTGAAAATTTCACAGACGAATGACGAATACAGAACAAATCAATGAATTTTATAACTACTGGAAGAAAAAGTACGTTTCGTAATCAACTCACCTGTGACGGAGAAACGCCGGAGGAGATGAAGTTTTGATAAGAGAGTGACGATTAACGGCGAATTAGGGATTTTAGGGTTCTTAAAATGTGAAACTGTATCGATTATGACGAGAAGCAGGAACTTTTCCCGGGGAAATAAAAAACGGTTTAGTAATTCTATGGACGGTTTGGTTAACTAATCTCTTAACCGGTTGATTGGTTTTCAAATCATAAATTAATTAATCGGTAAGCCAAAAAATATGGTCGAATTATCTAAAACCGGCTGATTGGTTCTCTGCCGAAATTTAGAACATTTAAAACTAGCAATGGAGATTCTGTCTTTGACTTCTAGTTCATCTCGCTGTCAACTTTCGAAGGGGTTTGTGTTTTTTTACGTATTAACTTTGATTTGTTTCTTAATTTGGTACAATGTTAACTCTCAAATTATATCTACTCTTATGCTGTAGATTCACAAAAGTGAGAGGGACATTGATCAAATGAACAGTCTAGTATATGTGCAATTCAATACAAAGTTGTTCAACAAGCAAAAGAGGATCAAAGAGGAAAATGCGGATGTGCTCGTGGTCATGATGACGAAAATGTAGTATGGTTCGTGGAGGTGGATCGAAAGGAGAAGAAGATGAACTTATTGATGAAGATGGTGATGATTATCCCTTTCACACTGAGTTTGGATCAGAGGATGAACGTGTGATTGTTTAAGGAGTAAACCATATTTAGTAAATTATGCTAATGTTTAAACTGCATTTATCATCAGTCCTCATAAGATAACAAAGTATAGAGATTGTTTGGTGTTGAAAAATCCCTTCAACACTTAAATATTCAAAATAAAAAGGTACAAAACGCAGAGTTGTTCATGCTCTCTTACATTAGGATCCTTGGAATCAAACTTAAATTAAAGGATCCTTAAAGAAGGCAATGCTCTCGACGTGTTGATGTGCGATATTGACAAAAGCTTTAGCGTGCTCCTCGAATCCATAAGAGCGCCTAAACTCTTCACTGTCTCCAATTCCTAGGAGCCTAACTCTTCTTATGTTTTTTGTTTCAACACTGTAGTAGAAAATATAGAAGGGTTGAAGATTGACTGACAACAAACTTGGAGCCATGATGATCTCACCAGCCCTGTTTGTACCTGGAAAAGACATTCCACCAAGGTCAAAAAAACCCCACACAGAGATAGGAAACACACATTTTTGTTTTGACCATTCATGTTTCTCAACGTCTTCTAGTATCCATAAATCAAAACTAGAGACAGCTCCATAAGGGTTTCCCACAATGGAAGCTAGCTTCCCTTTGTATTCTATGAACACTGCTTGCTTCCCCCATTGGAGGATAACCGGAGGCGCTTTGATAAAACTTAGTTTCTCAGATCTAACATCAAAACACACCATAACTGGATCTCTAGTTTGTGTTAAGCAATAAGCACCATAGTAGAGAAAACCGTTGATGCATACATTCGGTGATATCGCCCTATAAGGTAAAGTGGTATTTTTAATGTGTCTCCATCCTTGACCATCTCCCAATGTTAATACCTTGTGCTTTAGTTGAGCATTAGGATCCTCCCAAATGTTGTTATCCCAGGATAATACTTTGTATTGATCATCAATCGGATCGTAACCAACAAAAATACAGTCACTAGTTAACTTAACGACTTCCTCGGTGCTAGGGTTACACATCATCAACTGACCTTCAGTTTCAACAGCGAGAATGCCATGTAAAGAAGCGCAAGACCCTGAGTAGAAACTAAAGCTCACAGCAGGAAGAGCCATCTCGAAATTGGGTACCAAAGAAGAAGAAGAAGACTCATCTCCCTCGTCGTGTGAAAACGAGAAGAATAAGATAAGCTTCTCCTCAGGCTCACCGAATATAATGTTACACAAACTGACTATAAACCGTGATTGCTTTGCGGACATAGAGAAGAAGGAATGAATGAATCCTCGGCTTCGGATGATGGAAGACCACATCTTTGACACGCATCGAAAATTCTTTAGAGACTTGGCAGACAATCTAGTTAGTATAGCCATCTTTAGATCAAGAGGGAGCGAATCTAATAAGTCTAACTTACTAGGGTTTGTTGTGTCTTTCTCATTCTTGCGTTTCATGGCGTCTCCCAGACGAACCCTAGATTCGACTCCGAGGTTTGCAAAAACTGGTTAGATCTTGCCATTTCATTTTTATGTACTAAAAGCAATCAACAATTTAGAAAATTGGAATAAGTTGCAATAAATAATTTCCAGATCGTGAGATAACAAATCATGGAATAAAAAACTTAACAAAGCAACTCAATGGTTAAGACGTGCTTCAAAAGTTGGGAAACCAAAACCAAACCAAACCGAAGACTTAAACCAAACGAATATTGCGTAAGTATAAACATTCCTTATTTTTTCCGTCAAATTCTACCGACCTCAAAGAACTCACTCGGTGAGATAACAAAGTTCACGGAGATTGTGCCAAAGAGCAAAAGCGGTTAGAGCGAACTTGATTGATAAATCCCGGTCAATTCTGTATAAAGTGAACAAATATGTTTTTTTTTTTTTTTTTTTAACAAATATGTTTTGGAAATCTTTCCAAATCTACCACATTTGGGAAAAGCTTTCCAAATGTACCACATTTTATTGCCACATGCCTAAAGCCGGACGAAATTGCTCTTGATGGAGAGAGAAGTGTGTGTCAGAGAAAGGGACAACTTGGGACAAGAGGGAGCAGTCTGCATTTAATGATGCACGTTTACAATTGTTCTCTTAATATATTAGATAATATTAAATTAAAATCGGGGACAAGTTCATATGAAATGAGTAATATAATTAGATCGGGGACAAGTTCAGATCGAATGAGTAATATAATTATATCGGGGACAAGTTCATATGGAATGAGTACCAGAATTAGATCGAGGACAAGTTCAGATCAAATGAGTAATAGAATTAGATCGGGGACAAGTTCATATGAGAAGAAACCCAGATCTAAATGTGTAGCCGATTTAACGTCGTGGACCAAAACTATGTAATTGATAAACTATTTTCAAACCCAGATTTAGATTTTGAATGAGTAATATCGAATGAGTACCAGAATTAGATCGAGAACAAGTTCAGATCAAATGAGTAATAGAATTAGATTGGGGACAACTGGATCTTTCTGTTATTCCGCAATAGAAGAAAAAAAAGTTCAATAATCCGGGTAGGTGAAGACAATAGTGCTCAACTAATCTGTAGACCAAAATAGATGATGTGAAATCTATATAAAATTGAAAACTTTTAAACGAGAACAATTGGTGGACAAGATGTGAGATTCATGATAATAGAGCAGGATGATGAAATCGGGGACAAGATCTAGACGCAACAGAGAATTTCCAATCGAAGACAAGATCTCGAGACAAAAACGAAAGTTAATTGTTTAGTCTCATGAGAGATAATGTTTATCTGTTAAAGCGCACGTGTCTCGAGGGATGAGAGATAAATAAGAAAGCAAAACAGTTAAGAAAAGTCAAATCGTTGCATCGTAGAGCGCGAAATCTGCCCCAACAAAGAAGGGTAAAATCGTAAACTCCACGGACCAAATGTGGTAGAACTGGAAAGGAGTTTCCAAATGTGGTACATTTGGAAAGATTTTGGGAAAATGTGGTACATCTCTTAGTTTTTCCATATGTTTTTCCTTGTTGGCTTTAATTAATGTCCATTTTAGGTCTCCGTTGCTTAATCAGTCGATTGATCCGAAGTGATAGTGAGAGCGGTGTAAATTCAATCGACTGATTAGATGAGACGACGATCAAAGAGTAGAAGAAATTAAGAGGGTTTCATGAATATATTTAAAACTGTTTAGGAAATTAAAAATTTGAGTCTACTCATTATAACTCGTTGTTTAATACTCCCTCCGTTTCAGTTTAGTTGTCATTTTAGGATGTAAATTTTGTTTTATAATAGTTGTCGTTTTAGGTTTTCAATGCAAATGTTTGGTAAAAATTCCAGTTTTATCCCCACAGTTTTAATGTTTTGGCCAATGAAATTTTTTATAAAATATATTAATAAAGGGTAAAACAGAAAATTTAATGTTTTTCTTAATTTGCGTGAAAAAACCTTAATCGACAACTAAAACGAAACGGAGGAAGTATTTTCTACTTAATATCGTATTTTTCACCATAATATTTTCTAATAATAACACAAATCTTAATAAATGCTTCTAATGGTTTACATCTCTTTATCATTATTTTTCGTAAAATATATCTTTAAAACTAATTAACTACTTGAAATAAAGTATATTATAAAATAGAGTGTATAAGGTTCAAATCTTGTTTTTATAAAAGATCAACAATATGTTGATCACCACTTACAATTTTAAATATTATCAATAAAATTTAATATATATTTTTTATATCCGGATATTTCTATGAATCCTAGTCTAGTCTTATTATATAAATCTTAGTTTCAAAATTAGTCACTAACATGATCGTGACACATGTCAATTAATTGATTAGAATGTGACAAGTGTCAAATTATTTTTTTTAACCAAATTCGAACTAACAATTTTTTTTACATATTTTAGTTTTCTTATATATTTCTAAAAACATTTGAGCTTTATTTTACTATTTTGAAAAGAAATTCAAAAAAATAATAATATCAACATATACTAATTTACGTGTATATACCTTTGAGGTTCAATAATTATAAGATCCTTTTATGCGATGTAGATAAAGATTTACTCCGTCTCCTCTTGCAAGAACCAGCCACTATCATATTAACACCCCAAAACTAACAGATCGGCTCAGAGATTCTACTGATCATACCTTGGCAATCGTAAATAATCCAACCGAAATTACCTAGTAATGACGACGATTTTTCCCTCCATATTTTGTGGAGTCACAAAGCAATACGCATGCGCTTATGAACATAGCAACGTCCATGTGAAGGCCATCATCACCACCGGTGCCACCAGGTTCATCACCGAGCTCTTCCATCTACTATGATTTATTCCTTTTTCACGTTTTATTTTTCTGGTTGCATTGGAAAAATTGAAAGTATGTAGGATGAGACAATCAAAGTGTAAAAAAATTAAGAGCGTTTTTAAAAGAGTTTTCTGCAAAAATATCATATAACTTGCTGATTTTTTCAACTTTTTACTTCGTTACTAAAAAATGCAGTTTAATCTTACGAAATCTTAACTAATACGATGTATAACAGTTTTCTATCGTCAAGTTTGTAAAATTTTGATAAATAATATGTTAAATCAAAGCTTTTGGGACGATAAATTTAAATCAATCTTTAAAATTTTAAAAATCTATTGTATCTGACCGTAAAAATGTTAACAATATATGTATAAAAGCTTTTGTAAATTCTATGAATTCTTCATCCTCCATCTTCGTCGCTCGTTCAGATCCCCTAAACCAAAGCTTTTTGATTTCGTTGGCCAGAAACCCCAAAACATCTTCGTCGCATGTATGATTTTGTTAGGGTTCAAAAGATTCATGAGCACTTGGGTTAGATTTTGTTAGGGTTTGATCGATTTGGATTATATTGATTTCTTAGAAGCTTTTGGCCAGAGTGGAGTGGTTTATGTTCTAATGATGCTTTTCATGCCCTCCAGGTGTTCGACGAATTGCCTTATTATTGGCTTGCTTGTTTCTTAACTGTTTTGTGTTGATTTAGGTTTTGTGTTGTTGCTGTTAAAACTTGCAGGTGCTTACTGTTTCGTTTGTTTCTATACAACGTTTTTATGCACTCCATGCAGTCTTACATTGTAGACATGTTCTGTTTTTGTTGTTGTGAGGGTGTCTTGAATTTGGTTTCCAAGTGAGTTTGAATAAATTTGTGGCAAAAAGTTTCAGAAAACAATTACGTTAGTTGAATCAAGTTGGTGAGTCCTTCAGAAAACAATTTGTGGCCTACACGTCTCGACAACCTCTCTTCTTTACACGTTTTGTGTGAGTCCTTAATGATTTGGTTTTGTGTGAGTCCTTAATGTTTGCATTATATATAGTGGTTAGTCAAATTTACTAGGTTTGGTTTCTCGAATGTGAGGGTTTTGTCTCTTTGTAAACCAATTTGATGTCTTCTCCTAAGTAATTTCAAGCTAGATTCATTCGTTCTTGCTCTTAGATGAGCATGATTAATCTGTTTAGTTCAATTTTGTGCTTAGATGAAGAGTTTCACGTGACTCTACCTCACTATTTGAATATTAGTCTAAGTGGAAACATTCATAGTCATACTTGTTTGTATTTATTCGCTCTCCATATGTTTCTTTCTTCTCAAATCTCATTTATCTGCAAAGGATAAGGACTTACTCTACAGCTATAAAGAAAGTGGTGTATAAAATTAAGAAACTTGGCACGAGGATCAACGATCTATGTGGTATGTGCACATTCTTTACTCATGAAGTGTTGGGTTTATTTTGATTAGTTAATTTTGTTTATTGGTTGTAAAATATGGTTATTGAAATGTTTATATGGAAACATGCAGGTATCAAGAAGTTTGTTAAAAAAAAACTTAATCTATGATTTTGGTCTGAAGTTAATCTGATTTAGCATGATATTTACTTTGGTTTCACATGATGTTAATTTGCTCTTAAATTCTTAAAATTTTGTTTCATGCAGAGGTTTATTAACAACATCAAGACTGTGAAAAAGATTTTGGACATGAAGGTGCAGAAGTCATACTATTGATGAGGCCTAACGATAAGCTCCTGGTCTAAAGCAAGATAATGTTAAGAAGCTTAAGTTGAAATTTATGGTTGTGTGACACAAATAAAGTTATTTCGGTTTGGTTTTGAAACTAATGTAGTCAAACTAGAGTTCTTATTTAATTGTATTATTCTTCATTAATTCAAACCGGATTGAAAATTATGTATAATGCAAAGAAAAACAAAAACAAAACCACAATATATTGCATAATACAAATGCTATTTTAATTGAATAAATTGCGTATTATAAATGCTATTCTAATTGATTAAATTGCATATAACAAATGCTGTAATTTGATAATTAATAACAAAATATACTGGCTATTATATAATATTACATTGCATAAGAAAACACGCTATAATATGTAAACAAAATATAGCACCACCAAAAACCGTTATCGGAAGCCGTCGACCTATTATCATGGACGCAGATATAGCGCTTTCTACTTCGCTATCT